GTGGTATCTGAAATCCTTCAACAAAGGTTTCTAAATGTAGAAGAAATTCTTCTTTGCTCAAACTGACCTCAGGCTAAACTGCAGAGAATGAAAGCAGCCTCTGTGTAAATGAACATATTCACGATGGTACTGGTTGCTGGGAATGGTAAAGCTGCCAGTCACCTTGCTATTCCCTAGTGCCCTTCTCCTGGTCTGCTTAGCCCTATCCATCCTTACCTCCTTCTACCTCCTCTGGCCAAAAGCAGAAGGCATACTTGCTTCCCGGGGAGCAGACAGCATACCTTCTTCCCAGGGAGAGGCGCAGGCAGACTGCTTGGCCCTTTGTCCCTGAGCGATGTGCTTGGGCATGCGTCAGACCTCAGTATTCATCATCCCTTTGAGAAATGATTAAATGCAAACAGCACACTCCACACTTCAAACGTGTTTCTATCAACTGAGGCATTCGACAGGCATTGGAAACAACAACTTCCCAACCCAGAAGGTTTGGAGAGAGATGTTTTATCTGCCCTTCCTGTTGCTGGGCATCAAACCCAGACCACGTGTATGTTGGGCAGGTGCTGGACCACAGAAATGAATCCTAGCTCTGGGAAAATGTTCTACCTCAGATAAAGTAGACATTCAAAGAGTAACTGTTGTATGAATGCAGCGAGTGGAAGGAGATGGGGCCAACTTCAGGAAGCCATGGTGGGGAGGTTAGGCTTCTGGCTGGAGGCCTGAACACCCTGTGTGTGCCCCTTCCCTGTTTCCAAGGTACTTTCCACACAGCAGCTCATGCAACCCTCAGAATGACGCCTCAGGACAAGAGGGGTGGGCGCTCTTTATACTGTCCTGAGATGAAATGGCTTGCCCGGAGTCAACCAACCAGTGAGTGGCAGAAGTGGAGCCAAGCCCCGATCTGGAGGATGCTGGTGGTATCCGGACAGCAGATGGACACCAGCAGCTCCTGGGACTTTCAGAGTGGAGCTCCTACAAATCACTGCTGCTGGAGGGCATAAGACTCTCCGAGACGAAAATGAGCTCGAGCAGGAAAAGTCACTGGGCTGAAAATGTTTGCAACTCTCCAGCACAGTAACAAACTCCAAGCCGATAGAGCTGCACTGAAGGAAAGGTGAATTGCACAGAGTCATGCAGGATGGATGGTAAATAGGTTCCCTTTTGCCCTGTTTGGACAATTCATTTAGGCTGTGACTGGGAGTGAGCTCCAGAAGAGCTGGAAGCCACCCTTTGCTCCAAGATGATCACCCGAGTTACTGTTGCCTGTTTGCTGAAGTCCTATGACAGCCTCTTTACAACTGAAAGCATTATTTTGTCCAAGACAGTAATAAAACATTACTTAGAATCATGCATCAAATTCTCCTGGGAAACTTTAAAAGAGGGTCTCACAGACTCACCAGGGTGTTAAAATAACCAGGCAGACCCACTACAGTTTGGATGGGAATACTCCCAACACTCATTGCTGCAGGCTTTGGAAAGCGACTAGACCCTAAGAGCTCTGATGTCAACACAGAGTCACCCACTGAGGGAGCAAAATTACTAGATGGTGCTAGCGGGGTGTGATATGCTGGAAACTTTAGAAATGGGGCCTAGTCAGAAGGAGCAGGCCACTGAGGATGGGAGTGGCACTCCAAGGGTCTGTCTTGTCCCTGGCTTCCTGGTTCTGTCTCTCAAGCTCCATAGCAATAGTCAGATGCCCATGGAACCTTAGAAACCATAAGCCAAAATAACACGCCATGACTTATGTCAAGCACCCTGTTACAACTGTGGAAAACTGAGGAAGGGCTGGCAAGATAGCTCTGTGGTAAAACCACTTGCTGCCAAGTTCCTAAGTTTGGGCTGTAGCTGGCAAGGGTAATATTCAAAATACTTCATTTTCAACACTTACCAAAAGACGACTACAGCCAACACCAGAGCTAGTGAGTCAAAGCGCAAGTTTTATGTACACGGCCAGAAAATACCAGACAGGCTGAAGCTTGGGTCTCACTCAGCAGTCATCTCTGTGTCCTTAGATGGATTACCATCTGTTTAGTCACCAGCCTGGCAGTGCTGGTCGCCAGAGACAGTCCACCTAGGTGGAAGCAGGCTCTGTCAGAGTGAAGTTATGCTGTTAATAACTCCATGTTAGTGTGTGTGCCCCAGGTTACACCCTCTGGACAGTGCTGACTTTTCTGAGACTGGAAGGCAGTCTCTGCTTCTCACTGAGATGAGTTCTTAAGAGTGAATTTCTAATTTGTGTCCTCATGGACACTATATATAAAGACTGATTGTGTTCTTCCTCCCTGCCTAACTCCCAGAATAATGGAGCCCAAGTGTGGGCACTACAGGAAGTGTGCCTCAAGTGTGGTCACTACAGGAAGTGTGCCTCAAGTGTGGTCACTACAGGAAGTGTGCCTCAAGTGTGGTCACTACAGGAAGTGTGCCTCAAGTGTGGTCACTACAGGAAGTGTGCCTCAAGTGTGGGCACTACAGGAAGTGTGCCTCAAGTGTGGGCACTACAGGAAGTGTGCCTCAAGTGTGGGCACTACAGGAAGTGTGCCTCAAGTGTGGGCACTACAGGAAGTGAGCCTCATGTGGCAACCGGCTTTCAAGCAGCACAGCTAGTCTCTCCTGGCTTGCTCAGGAAGGGAGGAGAGTGCTGCTATAAGTGGGAGTCTTTCTTTGACTCACCTTCTTCGGGGGCTGGGGAGATGCCATGGCGGTGGTTTCCTAGCAATGTTGGAGAATTTCTGAAGCCCTTTGTTCAGAAGGCATAAAAAGAAACATTAAACTGGATGTGGTAGTCAAGGCTTGTATTAAAAAAAAGATAAGAATGTTGCTAAAGGCAGTAAAATATAAAGCTCTTTTGTTTTCAATTTATGTGATTCTAAAGAGAAAAGTTTACATTATTTTTATGTTGTCGGAAGACACTAGACTTTTGCATGCTCACCAAAGTGTCATAGTTTCTGTCTCAGGGATCAGACATTTTTATATATTTTGTTCTGACCAGGGAAGCAAGAACCTACACAGAACTTACTCAACCTTATTGTTTCGCTTCGATACACACGTTCTACCAGGAGTCTCTGATGCGTACGGAGGGACTGGTTAGAAGTGGCCTCAGGACAGGTGCTTGGCTAGCACAGGGAACAAACAAAGCAAGAGTGGCCATGCGGCCACATTTCAGACTTCTACGTCTCAGAGCGCATGGCTTGTGTTTCAAGTTCTGGTTTTACTGGAAAGCGCGGCCTCTGAGAGCTGCCAGCTCCCTATTGCCGACAGCCACTTCCCTTGGCCTCACAGCTGTCAACTCTGCCGCCTGTAGCTCCATCAGAAATCTGAACTTGTGGGCACAGAGAATGCTCTGATAAGGAGACTGGTAAGATACAGTGCACAGACAGTCTCTGTCCCCGCTTCACCCCATGCTCCTTTGTCTCACCTGACTTCCACACAGGAGTTATTAGGAAAGTCAGAGTGGCAGAAAACTAAGTCATGTGTGGCTTTTCTGAACAGCCAGCATTAGCAGAATAGGGTAAATTGGGCAAAACCAATAGATTCTCCTACCCTCCCAGTGTCTTTAGTCTTTTGTTTATCATCTGCCCTTCCCATTAGTTGGTAGCAACTGTTTCAAAGAACTGGTGCAGGCTGGGGTTGTAGTTTAGCAGCAGAGGGCCTGCTTAGTATTCAGAAGCCTTGGGTTCCATGGGTAGCATCACACACAATTGTCTAATCATTATCACCATCATCAATAATTAGTTGCATCACCGAAATTCCTTGCCTGGTGTCATTATCATGAAATCTAGAACTGTTGGCAGGGCATTCAAAGCCTTCTCCATCCTGTGCCAACTTTCTCGGGCCTGTTCTACTTCAGTTTTCCACAGTGTGGTCTGGAGGCTCATGCTTTCTTCTTTCTGTTCTGTTCTTTCACTGGGACTCTCTTGTTCTGCTACTGTCTGATCGAGCTGAAGCCAGGTAAAACACTCTCTTCCAGCTGAGCTTTCCTGATGCCCCCAGCTCTCACCAAGTGGTCCCTCTGTCACAGCTCAGCTCGTACAGGTAGGTAGTCCCCTGCATTTCAGCAAGCGCTCATATTCTGCCACCTTAGCCATGGGCAGCCTCTCCTAAACACTTCCACAACCACGGCTTTCAAACATTCCTGGCAATGATAAGCAAAAAGCAGAAATTCATTTCACACTGTGATCCAATATACAGAGCTCTATATGCCTTGTTTCAACATTGTGTTCTTCCTCTATTTAACAGCTCTGAACATAGAACATTTCTCTCTGTAGTCTTGGCTGTCTTGGAACTCACTCTGTAGACCAGAGATCCTCTTGCCTCTGCCTCCCGAATGCTGGGATAAAAGGTGTGCATCACCACCGTCTGGAAGGATTTTTTTTTTAATGTATAGAGGTATTTTTTTCTGCATGTGTGTCTGTGCACTATGTGCCTGAAGAGGGTGTTGGATCCCCTGGACCTAGAGCTACAGATGGCTGTAAGCTGCCATGTGGGTGTTGGGAACTGAATCTGGGTCCTCTGGAAGAGCCATTTCTCCAGTCCTCAGTTATATCATTCTTAGTAGTAAATGGCCTGGCTCCTATTTGGTGGCACTCAGGTTTGGTGAGATGTAGCGCAAGGCAGAAAGCTTCAGTGTTGCTCCCCGTTTGTTAGAGGGGTGTTCTCTTGCTGTTCTGGTCATGACCCACAAAAATGATTTCCCTACTCATTAAAGGGTTGTCATCTGCAGCTTCAAAAACTACTTGAAGCATCTGAGCGTGAAGGTGTGGAGCCCTGGGGAGGCTGAGGGGGACAATCAAGAATTTGATTAGGGCCTCACAGAAAAAGCCTGTTTCCTGACCCCTTCAAAACAAAGCTTTGGTGGAACTGAACTGTTTACACATCAGGATTAAGAACCAACTAAGCCCAGATGTATTAACGTGAATGCAGTTCAGCTGGGCACAGAAACTTGCTCTTTATCTAAAAATGCTTTGATAGTTTCACACATGTATCTAATAAATCTTGGTCATTTTCAGAACCCTCATTCTCCTCTTTCTTTGATTGCTTGCCCTGGAGACGAGTCTTATGAACCCCCGAGGGCTGACCTCATCTCAAGATTCTCCTGTCTCAGCCTGCAGAATGCTGTAATGACACCCACCACACCTGTTTTGTACGCAAGACAAAAATCAAGACAGTCTCATCCGGGAAGGTGAGTTTGCAAATATTTTATTGCATTTTCAGGCAGGGACTTCCTCAAAGCCTATTTTTTGGAAGGCTACATTAGTGACCAAACTAAAGGGGTAAACAGCCCCTCCTCAGCAAGGTCACTGGGTTTGCCCAACACCACACTCTCTCTCTCCTAGGCTTCTTTCAAACTGCCCCTTCCCATCCCAGTGTTACCACCACCCAGTCCCAGTCAAGTCCCCGCAGTGAACACACCTGCCTTAAACCAAATCCCCAAATCTTGTAACTAGCTCGCCCCGACCTCTCTCTTAAGATATTACAAAGGGGAAGCTTCATGGATTCCCTTGAGTGTTATTAAACAGTAAGGTTGCCTCTGGCTGACCAGTAGCTTATTTGGGTCTTTAGCGGAGGAGGGGGGGGGGGATACTACATTATGACCCTGTTGTGAGAAGGCATGCTGGTTGCTTATGTTCTCGCCACCCCCAGGTGTCTAGACACTATAGGAAGATGGGTGTGGAAGAGTCCCTGAAGAGGACTGGGGGGGGGGGGGTGTCCACAGAGCAGTGCAGAGCAGGCTGCAGCCCCGAGCTGGAAACTGTGCTCTGCTCTTGGCATGACTCGCCAGCTCCTCTACACACCTGGTATTCAGATGGTATTGCTTTAAATATAATAGAGCAGGGCTCAGTAGCCTAAGCCTATAATCCAAGCACTGGGGAAGCTAAGGCAGGAGGATTAGGTGTGCTAGGCCAGGCTGGGCTTCCTAGTGAGAGGCTGTCTCACAAAGTATATATTTTAATGTAGCTCTGTATTAGAAAACATTGAGGCTCGGCTCAAGCTCTTAACTTCAAGTGACTGTGTCATCTCTGAAGGGGTTTGCTGCATACAGTGGATAATGGACTGCTGTGTTTCAGATTTTCTTTAGGATGGTCAGTTATCACAGACAAAAAAAGGCTGACCAAATCTCTTCATTTCTTTTTTTTTTTTTTTTTATTTCCCGTTCTTTTGGTTTCTCGCGGCAAGATTTCTCTATATTAACAGTCCTGGCTGTCCTGGAACTTGGTTTGAGCCCATGCTGTCCTCGAACTCACAGAGATCCGAAGTGCTGGGATTAAAGGCGGCGCCACCACCACCTGGCCTCTTTTTGTGTCTCCTGTAATCCGGGCTGGCTCTGAACTCACCACGCAGCCAAGGATTACTGCATCTCCTGACCTTTCTTGTCTCCATCACTGCAGTACACCATCAAGCTCCCCACTCCCTCTACTCTTTAGTCCCTTAAGACAGGGTCTATTCTGTAGCCCAGGCTGTCCTGGCACTCACTATGTAGGCTGGTCTCGAACTCAGAGAAACTCTTGCATGTGCCACCACTTCCAGGCAAGCCCTGTGTTCTTTAATCTCTAAAATTTCACCTAAACACTGGAAGGGCAGCGATCACCTTTCTCACTACCTACTGTTAACACGCCTGCTCCCAGCTCCCTCAACAAACCAGCCAGTCTCCTGCCTGGGTCTTTGCTCACACTTCTCTCACGACCCCTCACCTATTCACTCCCTGGGCTACGGTGGAGGCTTCTGGAAGCACCGGAGAGGCCTCAGGGGACCGATCCCAGGAGCCTCCCTACATCACCCAGAGGTGATCTGCTCAGCACCTGGCCTAGCTTGTTTGCACTCAGCCTCTTCCTCCCGACAGGCAGGGGGTCCGGCTGCCGTTCACAGCTCACACTGCCAGGACACTTGGTGTGACACCCCTGGGCTGTGGTTCAGCTGAGGCCGGGGCATACCCGCCAGCAGGCCGCGTGCTGCTCCCGCCGCCCCCGCGGCGCGCGTAGTCACGGGCGTTGGAAATTCCAGCGCGTGCGACTCCCGGCCGGCGGGGGCGGGGCCGCCGTGGAGTGAGCCTGTGACGTGAAGGGGCGTGCCTCCGCGAGGCCCCGCCTCCTCTCCGCGCCCTCTCTCGCGGGTCGGGGTTACATGGCGGCGACTGCGGCAAAGCGAGAGCCTCGGAGACGCCGCTGCCGCCAGCACAGCCGGAGACCTGAGCCGACCCTGGGGGCTGTCCGCGGGCCCCGCACACTCTGGATGAGTCGGAGGAGTCCCGTGAGTGTGTCTGTGTTTGTGTCCGTGTGCGGGCCGGCGCGGGAGGGAACGGCGGAGGGCCCGGCGGCGGCGCCGGCTCCCGCGTCCATTGTGTGTGACCCTCCGGGCGGCCGCCGCTCAACAAAGGCGCTTTTGTTCCGTGTGCCCGCTCGGCCCGGGCGGCGCGGCCAGCTGCGAGGGCCGGGTCCCCGCGTGGGGCTGTCGGCGCGGCCGGAGCGCCCCTCCCACCCGGCACGCCCCTCGCTGGGCAGCCGGCCGCGGGCTTTAGCAGGCCGGCTCCGCCGCCCGCGCCGGGCTGTGTTGTGCGGGTTCGAGTCCCCGCCGCCCGCGTCGGCTCCGCGGGTTCGAGTCCCCGCCAGCGCTCAGGCGAGGGCGGTGGTCCAGGAGCGCTTGAGGCAGTGGAGGCTTGCCTTCCTGGCTCGCTGCCTCCCTAACGCTCTTCTGTCTCCTCCCCCGGCCCGCCCGGGTGACTCGGCCTCAGCTGACTCAGGCCGGGCAAAGTCTCGGAGCACGTTGCGTAGCTCTTTACTCCAGCCCCTAAGTCCGCCCAAGTTTGTGTCTGGCGGTCCACGAGGTGCCGGCGGCCGGTCTGAGCCAGGGCTCCGGACACCTTTCCGGACGTTAAGGTGTGATCCGGAAAAACAACCCCGATGAAAACGTACGTTACCGGTTACAGGCCTCCTCACTTGGAGCTTGTTTTAATCTGACTTGGGAGTTGTGTAGAGCGGTGGGCTTTCGGCCGCCTTTTGTTCCTGCCTAGCGTGGGCTCTCCGGCTCAGGTGCCTGGGCGAGCTGCGAGCTGCAGGCTCCTTTAGATTGCTTCCGTGTTTTACCTTTTTGCGGTTTGAAAGTATGGAAGGATCGAGCGAAGGGACCTGGTAAGGGGGGAGTTAGGAGGTCTCCATACTGCCTTTGCAGTGTTCGTTGCGAAGAGTCCCGAGATAGTCTCAGTATTAACTTTTTATGGCTACCGATGATAGGGAAAAAACATTCACAGGCCATCAAACGAAGAGCAGCCAGCTTCAGAATAATTTCCTAGTTGTTGGTTATTCTAGCGTGTTTATTTCGGTAAAATTCTGGGTTTTCACGTTCTGTCTCTTTAACGTTGGAGAACTGAGTTGGAAAGAATGATTTGAGTAGAGAAGAATGTAGGGTCTAAATAGGGCCCGGCCCCCAAAGGGGTTTTCTTGTTTGTTGAGCCGGTCTCGCCTAGTCCCAGCTGGGCTTTGAGAACCGTTCTCCGGCCTCAGCTTCCTGCTGGGTTAACACGTGGGCACCATTATCCTCAGCTTTAGAGTTTTCTTAGAAACGACAGGTTTTGGTGTTTGGAAATGATTTTGAATTGGGTGGAAGAAAAATATCTTTAGCTTGTAGGTAAAAACCTGTTTGTAAGGTGCTTGAACATATATGTTATATTAATCTAGCTACATCATAAGCCTTGCTTACTGATGTCCTAATCAATAATTGTCATCTCCGAAGCTTGCCAGATTTGAGCAGACTATTCTGACACTTCAGTATTACTGTTCAGAAAAAAAAAAAAAAGACCTTGGAAATGAAGAAAAAAAACTGTTAAAATTAGTTTTCTATGTGAGGCTATTTTGGAATTTAGTCATTTGCAGAAAAGGATTAAAAGTAGCCTGCCCACTTTGCGATTAAAAAGGAATCCGGAGAAGACTGACTCGAAGAACGTTTAATTTTGCAATAGAAAAGGCAACCGTTTTAAAGACTAGTGCGAGCGCTAAAAACGCTGCACCGTTTTACATGTGTAGGCACCGTGAGAATTCCTTGCTGACTCGGGACCTTGTGCAGGGGCTGGGGGTCGGGTGGGAGGAGGCTCAGAAGAACTGTTGCAAGTTTCGAGCTGGCTGATGACTCACCCTGCCCACTGCTGCTACTACGTGGCTTGCTTGCTTTCTTTAAAAATGAGAGGCTAAAAGCGTTACTGCCCGTGGCTGTTTTCTTTTCTCTGAAGAATAGCCCCCTCCCCAAGAAAAAAGTAATGGCTTCTTAAGTTGCCTTTTAAAAGGATATCCAGTACCCTGCTCGTACAATTGTATAACATTTGTTGAGCAAAAAGATAAAGGCGATTGCTGGCTAGTTGCTGAAATTAAATGTTTGATTCCAAAAGGCCTTTGGCTACTATTGAGAGAGATTTTGTTAGCAAGTTATTATAAAGGACAGACAGAACATTATAGTCTTGATGGAAATTGACTGGTTTTCATTGATTATGTAAAAGTTATCTTTATAGTATCTAGAAGGTACTGGTTTGAGTGTTGTACAAATACCACCAGAGTTTAGTAGGAGCTGTTAAACATACACAGTGCTTTCTTGTAATGTTTGTGCATTTTCTGTATTTTAAAGTTTTTATTATTATTATTTGTTGGTATGGATGTTTTGCTTGCTTGAGTGTCTATGAACCATTTGCCCTCAGAAGCCAGAAGGCGGCACTGAATCTCCTGGCATTGGAATTTCAGAGGGCTGTGAGCTGCTATATGGGTGCAAGGAATCAAACCTGGGTCCTCTGGAAGAGTAGCTAGTGCTTGTACATGCTGAGCCACCACTCCAGCCCCAGGAATTTTCTATTTTAATAAAGACAAGTTGAAACCAGCATTGTTAGAAGCACTTAAAGAGATAAACCGAGTGAATAGTTCCAGATTTAGGACTTAAGCTGAAGCTTGGTGATAAAATAGACATTTGGACATATTTCATGGCCAGCGTTTAACAAATTGGCTTAAAATAAGATTGAAGCAGGTGTGTGGGGGGGGTGTGCTCACATTTAAAGTCCTCCTCCTTAGGCAGAACCCAGCAGGACTGTGAGTTTGGGACAGACCAGTTTACATGGAGCCAGAGCCATATAGTGAGACCTGCCTAAAAATTTTTTTTGAGGAAAAACAAGACAGATTGAAGACATTGTTTCCTAAGTGAAGAAATAAA